CCCTAATGCAGGGCACAGACTGCTGAGAAAATTAGGTTGAGGCAGCATTATAAGTCTGTGCACTTCTAAGAAATTTGATTTTATCTTCTCTCAGTGAGCCATCTTCCCATTTCTTCACTTAGGTGTGAAGCCTGTCCAGGAAGACAGGCAAACAAAACTAAAGATGAGAGAAAATGGGAGCGGTTGAAAAGGTTAAGAAGGTTAAGATAGGCTAAAATAGCTTTACTGATATGATCCTAGACCTTCCAGAAATCCAGTAATGGTATAACTATTCTCTACCACATTTTTAAAAATATTTTAAAATCTGGTTTAAATGTATTTTATTATTATTATTATTATTCAGATTTTTTGCAGACATGGCCTCCAAGATTAAAGATGTATAAAAATCATATCTTTAATAGACTGAAGAAAATTAGAAGTTGAATAGTTTAATTAACACATTAACACCTGCTCTTAGTATCTATTCATGTTCCTTTTTTAAAAAAAACCTACTTTATCTCAGACATTAGTAAAAATGGTTTTAACAACATGTGCATGAGAATGTGAATTTGTTAACATATTCCCAGTTACAAGGCTTGCTTAAAGACCAAGTTTTCACTGGTTGTTAAATGCATGGGATAGTCACCAGACTAAGCATCACTATAAAAGTATAAATTATTAAAAGAATAATGATACACAGTTGTGCTTTTTTTTTAAAAAAAAAGTTATTCAATACTTAGTCTGCTAATACACCATTTTTCACAGGAAGTAATCTCATTCTTCTTCAAACCATGATAGTAATGTTTATCTTCAAATGTAGAAAGTTTAAGCAGTTTACCCCAACTGTTGTGATTTTCAGGGGATTATATATTCCAGGTATATTTGTTGTATATACATATATTTTAAAAATTCTCAAACAGATACCACATCCCTTCACTCAAACCATCTGGGCACTTTTTGTTTTCTTGAGTCCAGCTCTGATCCAAAGTTTTCTTGAAAAAAACATGGGCATGAATGGAGAAATCATAGTTTACTTAAAACAAACAAATAAACATCAACAATTTTACGAACTTTTTAATGTCAGAATTGACATGGGCATAGAAGAACCATAGGACTAAGCTCTCACAAAAAAGTCTGGTGATTAGTTTTGCTACTTGTGGTCATGTGAATATAAATAGTTTTGTCCTCCCATAGGAATGACCTATTCAGACGTTATTAGGACCATTAGAAATCAACCATTTGAGCTACTTTCCCTAATTCCACTTTCAACTTGTATATGCATTAATCTGCCTTATTGTTTTTTACGTATCACCCCTTTAGTTCCATCAGGGAAGTCGGCTTGAGAGAGACATCTCTCTGACTGCAAAACTGGATGGCACTCTCAGTTACAGCTATATACAGATTTGAAAAAAAGAAAGTATTTAAGAGTCCACTAGTGATTTATATCTAGGACTAATTCTCATGCCATAGCTGGCTGGTTCTTCCAAAGTATTAGGATACATGGCTAGGATTTTAGAGTTCCTCTCAAATGAACTAATAAAAGTTTAGAGTTGTATGTTCTTAGGGAGAGTAAGAGTATTTCTTCAAGTGGGAATAAGATATGCAGAGAATGTGAATCTAAAGATCCAGGATATCCAGAAGCCCACAGATGTTCTTGAAATCTAAACGATGAAATGTTCCAAAAACGTGTCTGTGTAATGATATTTGAGGTTTCACCTCAAGTAATTCAACATTTTCTCATGCCAGCTAGATCAGACAATCAGAACTTGTTTATTATATGTTGTCTCTTGCCAGGCTCCTCTCAGCCTTTCTGATGCCACCATTATATCCCAGTCCCCAATCACTTCTAACCTAGCATATAACAGAGCATGTCAGATTCTGTCCTGACCTGTCTGCAACATCCTTGAATTGTGTTGGGTTGAAGGAGTGTAAGTCAATAATACGGCCCATTGACTTTACTTGTGCCAATTACTACTAGGAATTCCCTGTGGCAATCCTTTTGGTACTGGTCCCGTAGTTCAGTGGTCCAGGAAAATTTGCTTAAAACTACCCATGAGCAAAGCTGAATTCTCCTCTCAGATTCCCACCTTAGATCTGCAGGCCAATATTTTACTTGGTCTCTCCTGGCTCCTTTAAGAAAACAAACAAAATTTTTTTTCATTAAGCCCATTTCTAAACCAAAACGGGTTCTTAAACCACTTAAAGTAAAAGAGCAATTCAGGCACTGACAAATGTTGCTTCTTGGTCTAGACACCAGTAATGATGATATACTGCTTTTACAGGGAGGAAGAGTGCCTCAAAGGTTCCAGCAAATTGCACTGGGCAGAAAGAAAGCACTTGTTTCCAGGTGGAATATTAATACAACCTGATATGTTGTCAAGTCTGTGAAGACACTAATAAGAATGCTGTAAGGAAAAATTCATCTGCCCTAAATTAATGCCAAAGGTAGGTTTAGTTAGAGCCCAGAATAAAGCAGCAAGTTTTATTTTATTGCTTAAAAGACTTTAAAAAAGAGGCAGCTTTTGTTTAATAAGCAGTTATTGCCCATAAGGCTATATAGCAATAGTAATGGGGTAAGAAAACATTGAGATTAGTGCTCAACATTTTAACTGGATTTTTGCATCTCACTTTGTTGATAAAAAAGTTCAGCAGAAAAAAATGGTAAATACCATTAGTGACTGAGAGAATTTTGGTCGATGGTTTCAGGTTCCCATCTTTGCCTAATCTGTCTACTGGTTTTATGGAATAAAGGCTATGCTATAATGACTTAGTTAGAAAATGATATTACATAATAAAACTCCACTGGGAATCTTGCATGGTCTGTTAGCTGCTACTAAGAGGCATGCATGTTTTGTACCTCAAGAAATCTCAGAGCTCTGACTTGGACAAGAACACAACCTTTCCACACTAATTTTTCACTAACAGCACCTTTGATTATTAATACTGAAAAAGAAATACAACTTTTGAATTTGTTTAATGCTATCAATTATGTTGCTTGATTTTTGCACATCATTTAGCTTAGAAAGTGAAAGTAAACTCCTGGGAAAGGTCAAGTTCTAGGTTTGATGGGTTTAAGCCTCTTTTCTTTTTAAATTAGTAAGGATTTCATAGAAATCAGAATGAGCTTCAAGCCTTCTGCTGTTTAAGAGCAGTCGTACGTTTTGGTACACTACAACAATGCTGCTATGAATTGTTACTGATTATAGGGACATTTTAAAACTGTTCAGTAAAAAATCAAAATTCGGTCAAAATTTCTTACATTACATTTTATAGAACCAATACAAAAATAGTCATACTAAGCACTTCATCAGTGATGTGGATGAGGGTGTAGAAAGCACTCTGTCCAAATTCACCTACGACACCAAACTATGGGGTATAGTAAACACACTAGAGAGGAGGGAGCAAATTCAGGCAGATTTGGATAGACTGGGGAAGTGGGTGGATCAGAATAAGATGCAATTTAACAAAGATAAATGCAAAGTGCTGCACCTGGGGAGAAAGAATCACCAATATGCCTATAGACTGAGAAGGACCATTTTAAGAAGCACAGCAGTCAAAAGGGATCTTGGAGTCATTGTTGATGCAAAATAAACATGAGCTGTCAGTGTGACAAGGCAACAAGGCTAACTGCACTCTTTCTTGCATTAGTAGGTGCATCACAAGCAGGTCTAGGGAGGTGATACTTCCCCTCTATGCAGCATTAGTGAAGACACAGCTGGAGTACTGTGTCCAGTTTTGGGTGCCGCACTTCAAAAAAGACGTTGATGAGCTGGAAAGGGTTGAGAGGAGGGCTACTTGTATGGTTGAGGACCTGCAGGTAAGATCCTATGAAGACAGACTGAGGGACCTGAATCTCTTCAACCTCTGCAAGAGAAGCCTGAGAGGTGCTCTTATGGCTGTCTACAAGCTCATCCAGGAGTGGGGGTCAGCGGGGAACAGGGGATACTTTGTTTACCAGGAAGCCCCTCAGGGTTACTAGAAACAACAGCCATAAATTGAAGGAGAGCAGATTTAGATTGGATATCAGGAAAAAATTCTTTACAGTGAGGGTTGCGAAAACATGGAATGGGCTTCCAAGGGAGATGGTGTTTTCCCCTACCTTGGAGGCGTTTAAAAGGATATTAGACAAGCACCTGGCTGGTAGGGCTGTGCGAGGCTGCAGTCCCTGCCCTTATTCGAGTCGGCAGAGATTCGGCCCAGTTCAGTGGCTGAATCTCCAAATCTGAATTGAATCAGAGGACCCTTTTATCTCTCCAAACTGAATTGGAACCCTTCAAATCCATTTGGAGAGATTCAGAGATTTGGACATAGAGACAGCTTTAAATGGGTTTTTTTCATACCTCTACGTAACAGGTGGCTCATGAGTGCTGAGATGCTGGGCTGCATGGAATGTCCCACCGAAGCGTGGGGGGCTCCCCAACGTGCTCGGCAGCAGACCCAGAAGTGGACCAGAAGCATGCTGGTACTTCCGGTCCACTCCTGGGTTCGCCGCTGGGCATGCAGAGGGCCCCCCTGCATTCCTGTGGGATGCTCCATGCACCCCAGCATCACAGCGATCATGAGCCGTATCTGCCACCTCAAGGTATGTAGAAAAAACTTTTAAAGCTGTGTCTATATCTGAATTGCTGATTCGGAGAATCAGCTTCAAATCTTCAGATTCAGATTTGGCCAAACTGAATCAGGGACAGTGATCTGAATCAACGAATCAAATTACTGTCCCTGATTCAGGCTGAATCCGAATCAAATAGGACCCGCTTAGCACACCCCTACTGGCTGGCGTTACTTGACCCCAGCACTCTTTCCTGCCCAGAGCAGGGGTCAGACTCAATGATCTTATAGGTCTTCATCCCTGGAAATCTATGAAATCTGATCTATGAAATCTATAAAGCTAAGGCAGTAAGCATGCACAAGTGAAACAGAGAGAATCTGCAGCTAAAGAAAAGGATTGGGAACCAGCGGTTTGAAATCTTTTCCCAGTTTTTCCAGGGACTGTCTTGCATAACAACTTCTTGAATTTTAGTTTTGCCTTATGTAAGATGGAAAGCATGGAGTTTTGTGAGGATTCCTTAGTATTTGTGGTTCTTTGTATTTGAGATCCTACCATGGAAAGCACTGAAGAAGAGCAAATCATTATCACTGCTTAAGTTTGCTTTAGGTCCCACATATTTGTCTTATTCTCATCATACTTCTGTTTTGAAAAAGTTACAGTTCTTGCTATTCTAGTTCTTCTTTTCTTTCCTGTCCTTGTCTTTTCTATTGCCCCAAATGTCCTTGACTTTATCCTCCTCCTTTCTGATCTCATGGTTCCTTTGAGTCACACCTCTCTCTTTCGTTTCATTGTGGAGCTTTTTATTGTCAAGAGCTCAACTTCACACTAGGACTTCCTCTCAACCCAAAGACTTTGGAACAAAGATGACAAGGTCTCTTTAGTGCAAAAGCCAGAAATAGGAGAGAGATTTAGCAAGCAAGTCTATAGCAGCAAAGAAAGTAAAAAAAAAAAAAAAAAAAAAAAAGAGAGAGAGAGAGAGACGCTTATGATCAGGTAAGTGAACTTATTTCTACATTTCCACTGCCCCAAAAAGACTTATTATTACAGCCCCCCTCTATGTTAACTTACTCCTTCCTGCAAGTTGCTTTTCCTGATGCACCCATTTCTAGCTAGTCCATTTCTGTGGCATTTTAGCCTCAACAGGCCAACTTCGTGTTAGTAAGTAGAACTGAATCAAGGTGAATCTAAAAATGTCTAACTTGGTATAGCTGACATGCTGAAAGGACCAGAGTAAGATTGTGTCATAATTACCTTTGAATTTGGCCCTGGTTTAAAGACAGCTTTAGTGAGTTGCCAAGGGTACAAAGGCAGTCTACTTGTTCTTTCTGACTTTCCAGTTCCTAAAATCAGAAGCCAAGTGGGATAACTGAAATATAAGACTTTTAACCAGCCTTATTCAAAGCTCAACAGAAATTGGCTTGATTAATGTGGGAATAGTTGGCTCAGTTCTTACTGTATGCAAAATGAATCACTCAAATTGAGTTTCAGTCCTAAAGATGCTGAGCTTAGTGGCATGAAACCAAAGCTATTCATTTTTGGTTATCTTTCAATTAAGATTTGAGAATGAAGGTAAAGCATAGTACTGAGAAGGTGGAGGTGGCTGAGTTAGCCTTTTCAGCTTTTATGGCAGATATGAAATGATTCTTACGCCAGTGCACTGGGATCATCAGCACATGAAAGTAAAACAAAATGTCAGTCTTTTGAAGTTACCGGTCAACTCCTGATCAACTGCTTTAGGTTAGTGGTCAAAGCTATATTGAATAGTAGAGAAGAACTGACACTGAACACTGATTTTATTTTTCTTAAACCAAAGATATGGTTCAATTTGTGGGAACAGCTCTAGAATGGAGATCAGTATTCAAATAACTTTTTTTTCTTTCATGGTGACACACTGGATTCCTTTGGGAAAAGGCAGGATCTGATTTAGAAATTCCAGTGGGATCCAGTGGTAACCAGCACAAAGTGACAGACCCTTTTAATTAAGATTTTACATCAATCAAATGGAACAAATATATACATGTAACCCTGTCTGCTCCCCATTCCAAGACTGTAGATCCTGTGCAGTGCTGAGTATGCTGATGGGGCTCAGTAAGTAAGTAGGAATGATAATAATAAACCAAATGACAACAAATGGGGAAAAGAACAATTTTCAAGGAAAATCAGAAACCCCAAAGGAGAGGGATTTTTTTATGATGGCTCAGAGGAATAAAACTAGAAGCAGTCGTAAGAAGCTATTTGTGGAATGCTCTCTTATCAGAAGACTAAAAGCCCCATTACTTGAATTTGGATTGGCTAAGCTCTGCAGAATATAGTGAAAGAATCTTGACTTAACTGAGGGGGGAAATAAATGTGGTTTAACTGGCCTTTCCCATCTCTAATTGCTATAAATCTACGAATGTTGCCTCCCCCTGAAATTCTTTCTCCTCTTTTCAACAGGAGGAAATAGGATAGGAGGATTCAGAGACTGCTTAGTGACCTAGCCAGTCTTCCCAGAGAATGCTTCTTTCCATAAAGCAAAGTCCGTGGATTGATGCAGAGGAAACAACCAAACATTATCAAATAACATGGCACCAAGAGAAGGGTGGCTTTGAAAGGAGGGAAGACTGTAGTTTCTATTTTCTTTTTTCTATTCTATTCTTTTAAAAGATTTGTTCTTTTAAACGATTTTAAAAGATTTGTTCTTTTAAACGATTTTAAATTCTTTTAAATGATTTGTGACCCAATGCTGCAATATACACAAACCTCTGCAGCTCTGAATTTTTTAACTGGATATAGTAGGTCTATTTTAGTGCTGCTGATTTATAAAATTATGCTTAACCATCAACAATGCCTTCTGCTATAATTTTACACAGCAAAAGCAAGAGGATTGCAGAACAATATCTACCACATGGGAATGTGGAAAGGAGATAAGGGCAGGGCTTTTCAAGCCAGCTCCATCCATGTTCTTAAAAGAATCTGAGAAATTGCTATAAAAGTGCCAAGTATTAGTAATATTCCAGTATAGCCCTGGACATATAAAATGCTATGCAACCTGCAGGGAATAGTCTTGTATGTAGGGGGAATTTCACTGAGTAACACTGAGGTCCTGGAGGAAAAAATACCCTCCATTCTCCAGGCCAAATAATGTTTTTAAAAATTCAAACATTGCCCATCTCTATAGTAGTAAGAAACCACATGGAGAGAAACTTTGCAAATGACAGAGAGAGAGCAAATCTATTAAAGTTGCTATATTCAAATGCTGTGAAACATAATTATTTAATTTGTACAACAGCTCTGTAAGGTAAGACAGGATTTTTTTACCCTCACTTACGTATGAGGAAACTAAAGCAAGGAGTGGCGGCATGATTTGCCCGAGGTCAGGAAGGCTGTAATTTGCATAGGTGGCTCCAGAAGCCAGGAGTTTCTAGTTCCCTTCATTGTTGGTAACTCCTCTCCTGCAGTCCCTCTACTTTCAACCTAAACTATATTGCTGCATTTTAATTACTTGATATTCCCTTTTGCCTTTCGGTGAGCAAAAGAAATGCAGGAACTCTGACGTGGGTGTCTGAGCTCCTTCTGTCATTGGATGTCAGCTGTGTCAACATGGGATTACAGCTGGCACTGTTCTTCCTGCAGGCAGTGAAGGTTGGAAAGCACAAAATTATTGATCAAGCTTCTGATCCCTCTGGCCAGCTGTTTGTTTGCTCATTCTCTCTTTTACAGTGCATGTGCACATGTGGGGGAGAACAAAGAATAGCTTCTGATCATTCCCTTTGACAAGAAAAGTGAAACAGAAGTAACCTGACAGAAAAATGTAGCAATATTAACATCTAGTGGTTCAATGAGCTGTGCTGTGCTCCTATCTCACAGTGATCTATTTAACCTGTTTCTCCATCTGAGAAACATTTCTCCATTTTTCTCCAGCATCACATTACAATTGTGGCTATCCAGCTGCAAACATTATGAAGGGATTAAGCCAATAATAATTCATTTCAAACAAGAAGAGGAGAACTCTAGCCATCAGAATTCTTCTGATGACACCACATGTGTTTGGCTACCTGTGAGCTCTTACAATCACAGACCAATGGACAAGACATGACAGCAGTTCCTATTACAGAGAGGTTTGGATAAGCACATTTGTACTATGTGATATGTGAGCCATGATGTTTTCCCATAAAACTCTTATGGAAACCAAGGAGTTAAGTTATTCAGCTGAGTGGGGCAAATTCACTTCTTGTGGCCTGTAACTACTATGTTTGGGGAAAAACAAAAAGATAACTTTTGGGGAAAAATATACTGGATACTGGAAAGAGAAAGGGGAAAATGTGTCTCAGATTGCTTAGTGCAGTACAGGTACTTTATGCCACTGTGTAAGTGGATTATGGCTCCTGCCTACTTGTAGAAGCCTTTTGTAGTGCAGACTCTTTCTAACGATCCTTGTGTAATGTCACAAACTTTCCTTGCCATTGACAACAAAGAGTGGACAGCAGGAAGGAAGACAAAAGGAAGAGATGGAAAGAAGAATCACTGAGATGTCTCTGTGGCTGTACTAACCCTTGGATGCCATATTTGGCCCTGGGTTACCAGCATAATTTAGATCAAGGTGGTCAATTGTTTGGGCCTGGAGGCCACATAGGAAGTTTTGATGAGCTGTTATGGGCTGGGTCAGCAACCTGAGCCCATGCAAAAACTCGCCAAAACTCCCTATGTGCGATCCATGGTGATCCGTATGGGGCAAAGCCCCTCTGATTCCTGCCTGGGGCAACCCACACACTTCCATCTGCAACCACCAGCCCCATCCTGGCCAGCATGCACAGCTTATCCAGAGGTGGCTCCTTCTTCCGCTGCACCACTCTGAGCAGAAGAGAAAGTTTTCCCTAGGCGTCTTCTGCACCAGTGCATGGGGCTCTGGCTCCAGCTCCTGGCTGCCTTCTACCCGCTCTGCCCACCCACAGGTGGCTGCTCATGGTGGGTAGATAGAGGAAGTGGAAGGCAGCCAGGAGCTGGAGCCCAGTGCATTGGGGCAGGAGCCACCTGGCTGCACATCCCCCTGACAGTCTGAAGCAGCACAGCAGGGGTAGGAGCAGGAGGAGAAGCTGCTGCTGGAGGTGAGGGGAGCTGAGTAGCACCAAAAGGCTGCATCTGCACCAGAAGCAGCCCCACCAGAAGCTGCGCATGCTGGCTGGGGCCAGGGCAGGGGCTAGTGGGCACAAGCACAGTGCTAGCTGCCCGGAGTTGGACTCAGTCCCATGCAGCATCATGGGCCGGATCCAGTCAATTGGTCGGTGCCCCCCTTGGGCCTGAACTAATCAGCTGATGGGTCAGATCTGGTCCATGGGCTGTATTTTGCTCACCCCTGCTTTAGATCAATAGCGTAGAATAAAGCAATCCCAGGACGGGGATTTCAAGGGTTCCTATGCTTCTGAGCTATGCTGTATGCTCTTTGGCTACACCCCTGAGTTAAAAGAACTTCCTCTAAGGTAAAGACGAAATCCTACTGCAAAATAACCTTATCTTGGGAGACTATGGTTATAAGAAAGGGCTCAGGTTATCCATAGGAGAAACCAAGATAGCAGAGAAAAGTTATACAATGTATTTTATACCCTGTAAGCAATTTACTTTCTTTGGGCCAGGCAATTTATTATGACACATCAGGCACTAGCTTCTACCAAATATGGCTAGAACAGGAGCAAGATTGTGTCCATATTACCATGCCTTAATTAACTGGGGAAGTTGAAATGCATTTGTTTTGCTTGTGGGTATAGTAGGAATATTCATAATCACAATAGGTAGGATACAACTGCATATATAGAACATCAAACCTTATGCTTCAGGACACAAATCAAGCTCTAATTGCTTGGGGATAGAGAGCCACTACCCAGAAAGGAATGTTAGTACATACATTTCTGTTATGGTGGATATCATTTTATCATTTGCTGAAGCGTGTGTTAATGGCCACTGTCCTAGACAGGAAGCTGACTAGACAGATAAGCTGATAGGACCCTAGGGTCAGGAAGGAGACTGCCCCAGAGCCAGTTCTTCAGAACAATTGTGGACATTTTGGTCTGTTTGTTTCCATCTCTCTCTGAAACATCTGGTATTGGCTACAGAATCTGACAGGGTCAGAAAACAGCAGGATATGAGGCTAGTTGGTCTAATATTCCTGTGTTCTTTTGTACTGCACTGGGAAGGCTTCTGCTCTGTGTATGTGTGTGTTTTTTGTGGCCATTGCAGAAACAATGGATTTTTACTAACTAAACCCTAACAGTACTGTCTCAGCCATGCCATCACAATTGGAGGGATGGGCTTGTTTGCACTTAGTCTGATGTAAAGTCTTCCAAGATTTCATAGAACATCACAGTGGGGAAAAGGGAGAATTGTTGCCTCACTAATAATGGGCATCATGTCACTAATGTGTCACATATTGTGTGTGCACTGAGAGTTCCCCAACTTGTATTCGGCTTAATCAACATAAGGGATTCAAAGTCTGTTAAAATAAATGTTTACACTAGCAGCTCCTAGAGCAGAGTTTGTGTGAGCGTGTGTATGTGCCCATGTCTGAAAGGCTGCAGATGTATTAACAGCAAGTTGATGTGTTGTGTGCGTATGTTCGTGATCTTGCCTATGTAAGTGCATGCACATTTCTTTGCGACTCTCCTGGACAATTAGCAATTAGAAGCAACTCAAAGGATGCCTATTACTTCCCCCCTCTCCTGCTCCCCAATCTCACTTCAGTATCTCTCTTGTGGGATCCTGGTGGGGAATCAGGCCAGCACAGATGCTATTGGAAATGCTGTTTTGTATGTGCAATTGGACATATACTTCCTAACTTAAGCACCACCACCTCTTTGAACACTGCTGCTGCTGAGTAACGATGAGCTCTGTGTCTTGAATGCTTGGCTTAAGTTCCCTCACCAATTAAAACAAACAACAACAAAAACCTGCATATCCCTTTTGCTACTGCAAAGCTTACAGAAATTCTGGGACTTGATTTACTGCCATTCACATGTGCTGGTTTGGGGTATTTGGTGAAGGTAAGACTGTGATTCTCACAACAAACATATTGACCACAGCACATGATCAGATACTGGAGTAGCTCTAAGAGATGAAGCCTGGATGAGCAGAAGGGCATCAGTAGTAGTAGCATAACTATTTCTCTCTCCCTCATTCTCTTTTTGCCTTTCTCTCCCCAGACCCATGGTCATGCCAGTAGTAAAGACAGATGGCCCCTCTACTGCCTAAGTGAAACAGCAAAGCACAACCCTTACCTCTCATTTTTGTGGAACAGAAACTTCAGGTTCACAAGTTAAATGGATTCTAAAAGCAATTTAATGATAGCATTTCCATCATATTTTCATCACTCCAGACTCTGGCAGTCTGTGCCTGTCTGTGTACTCCTGTGCTTGCTCACACCCCAGAGTGTTTTTGTCTGTTTTGGCAACATGTTAGTTGATGTCTCAGTATACCCATGTGTATGCTTATTCTTCAATGTGCTATATGGGAGCATGGTTGTGGGCACACATGCCATGTAGTCATGTCTGTATACTTTCTAGTCTTAAAAATGTTGTAAATTTTATAGCCCTGCAGTGACAAGCTGCAAACAACTCTTAATTTCATCAACTTGTCATGCTTTAATCATCCCTTTTGGCATATATTTCAACATATGTTACAGTGCTGCCTTCAAAATAAGCATCTCTAATGCTGTTTTATTAACCCTGTCTTTTTATATGTTTTAGGCTCATTACAAGGTGCAGTAAATTCATTGAGGGCTTTTTACATGCTGTCTCTGATTCATACTGATAGGATGGATCTGAGGATTCATTGAACTCCCACAAATGAGTATGATATGAAAAATCAAATATAAAAAGCTGAATCAGGGATCGGATTCAACCAAAGTTGATTAGAATTCAGAGTTAAGATCATCTCTCTGTCCTTAACTTGCTCCCCACTTCTTTAGCTACCCCCTTCCCAACTAGAAAGGCCATCTTGGGATTTGGTTAGTACAATCCAGATAACCCTCCTGATCTTGCAAAAAGAGATGCGGGTTCTCTTAATGACTATCAGTGGTTAAGTCCTGTCTTATGTCTAACTACATAGATAGTTTCTGCAGAAACAAGTTCCACGGAGGATTCCTAGGTTCAACACAAACTTAGAGGAAAGATCATCTTGTAATGAACTCTGCACATCACTTACTGCAGTTCTGGAGATTTCCTTGGAGATCTATCATCCAATTTCCAGGTAGATCCAACTTTACTGAGATCACGAGAACTAATGCAATAACAATGTATGGCATTGTGGTTCCAATATCAGATCTTATGGTAGGTGAGGAAAGGACAGAGTGGTTTGTGTTAAATCATCCAGTTATGTTAAGTGTAATACTATCAAAACCTATTTTCCTTTCCTCTGGTAAGAATATCAGAACACTTTAATACATTAAAGCTATAACTTCCTTGGGAGGCAATTATTATTCTGTCTATTTTATAGATAAGGAAACTGAAGCACATTCAAGATGACTTGCTCAAGGTCACAAAGTGAGTTAGTGGCACAGTAGGAAGCAGGATGTAAGAGTCCTGCTGAGGCAGTCCCTGCTGGTGATACGGACATAGAATTGTAACTAGAACAAGCCAGTGTGTACAAAACAGCTGGTTGTCATCTTATAAGATCTCTTATTTGGGGGCAGACTGAGGGATAACATCTAAAAGCAGTAGCCATGACTACAGAGTTGTTGCAAACCCCCTCCCCACTACCCTCCATACCAAAGGATTCCTTGCTAAATCTTGGCTTTAGTAACTATAATAACTCCTGCATTATTGGATGAAATCCCTTCTCACAATAACATGTTCTTCTGTGTTTTGTGTAATTCCTTTACAAATAACCTTCAGTCATGTGCATGTCCTTTTAATATCTCAGGAGAGAATCTCACTTTCCTTTTCTCCTTTCCCCCTTCCCCCACACCAAAAAAAATTATCTTTTTGCTGTCTTCTGGGTGGTTATGTTTAATCTCAGGATTAGGCACAAGCCCACAGTTTGCCTTGAACAGCTTATCAGCTTCCGAGAGACATTTACAGGGAGAGAAAGACCCTGGTTTTGATAGCAGTAATTGTATTTAGCTTGTAAGATACAAGGCTATTTATCTCGTGGCTGGGAAATCACAGAGGGAGAAAAAGAAAATGTTGGCTGATAAAAACTAATACAGCCAAAAAGAAAGAAGAAAATAAAAGACCCCTTCCTCTCCCCCTGGCTTTTCCCAAGGCCCTTGAGTGGTGGGCTGAGGTAAATAAAGGACTTTTTGTTCAATAAAGTTCATGCCACTTGAGGAAGAAAAAAGTGGAGATAGTAGTGTGGAGGGTAAGATGTGAATGTGTGTAGGGTGAGAAAGGACATGTTTTAAAGCCAACTAGTTGATGTAGTGATTAGAACTCCATTGAGCTTGTGAGTTTGGTCCATAGAAATGTATATTCAAATTTTCAGAGATGCCAAGTCCAAATTATTCTTAGTTGGAAGCAGTGGGGACCATGGATACTCAGCACCTCTGAAAACAATGCCATTTGTATTTATTTTATAGACTTACAAGTATGTCCATCACCAGGTTCCATGTGTCAATGCATTGCTCATTTCAAAAAATAAAAAGCCTCTTCCATAGATATGCGACATAGTTTACTAAAAGGCAAACAGAACTTGATGGTCTTATTTTCCTATTCTAAAGGCTTTGCAATGTGTCTGAAATCTTACTTAACATGGGCTCTGTTGGGTCTATTTGAGCAAACGTATTTTAGAAGCCAGAGCTGACCTTTCAGAATAGCAAGGGACAGTTAAACCCAAGAATCATCCAGCAGATCATAGCGTCCACAATGCAAAGCATTGCAAGGATTCCCTCAGATATCTATATATCTGTATTTCTTAAGCACCTACAGGAGTTTTATCTAGGTGATACAGAAGTAAATGGATTCCAGGCGATTTGAGTTTTAATGGACTGTAACCAATTTTCCAAATGGCACCATGAAGGGAATAGCCAATCAGAAGAGAGAAATATTAGGACTCATAATGGCTCATCCTATTCAAGAGACAAGTATTTATATGAAGCTTTAGAATGATCTTTGATAGAAGTTACAAAAAAGCACTGGTATGTTAAAGGTTATGGAGTTGGGGACTCCACTAACCAGGAGTGACAAGATGGAACTGTCTGTAGAATCAAAAGTGGAGGGCAAGTCTAATAAAACCAACATTGACTATTTTCTTGCTTCAGCCACTAAGAGATGTCTATCAAATCAATATGCGACTGCAACTGCACCTCAACCAACTTTTCAGATACATTTCTCTAGAATGGGAGATTACAAAACAAGAGGGGTTTGATAAAAATACTAATATCAAGAGATTGTTTCTTGAGCCAGGGTCTCACCATCTCCTGTTCAAGGGAATCCTTCTGAAACATTCCTGTTATCTATCAAGGGCAACGGATGATCTCGTAGGCAATGGGACACAGCTCATCCATGAGCAAAGCATGATACAGCGCAACCGCCTTCTTTCATATGCTCTACTCATCTCTGATCTACATCTTCACTTCTGCAAACTAGATGGAAAATTCTTTGTAGGAAAAGATACTTGATTCACTATCTCAGTTTAGGGAAGTAGGATACACTGAACTGCCTAATGCTCTGATCAGTCCCTAATGCCTAACACACATGGTATGACACTACATAATGTTTCCATGTTGTGATCTGAAAGGAGTTATTGCCAGTAGATATCTCCCCCCTTTCCTTGAAGTTTTACCAATTATAAAATCACCTGTAATACATAGAGAAGTGCAAAGAGAATACCTATTCACCAATGCTTGGTACAGAGTAGCTCCTTATTTATGTTTAGGAAAGAGTTCTTGTTGATTCCCCCTTGCCCAAGTTAACATCTCTTGGATTCAAACAATGCCCCAAAAATTTAAAATAAAGCTTAGTCAAGACTGCTAATTAGACCAAGCACAAAAACCAAACCTTGCAACCCTTACAAATTTTGGATGCTTTCCAACTAACAAAATTACACAGTTGATTTCAGAGTAAATTTAGAGCTTGGTGCAAATATGAACTGCTTCCGTACTACCTATCCTCCAAAAGGAACAGGAATGATGTCCATGCCATAGAAAAACAGATTCTGGGCCAGCTAGACTACATACTGGGTGGATACTATCTAGCACAAAAGACTGGCACCAAAGCAACATCAGAACTAAGCTGCCTTGGGAGCAAGAACCTTCATGAGAATTAGAGTGTTGTGTGTGAGCATTAGGGGGACGGGACAAAATCGTCTCAGCCTGCCCAAAGCAGCGTCAACTCACCCAGTCAATGCCAGCTGAGATTTTGCAGCATCGGTAAACAAAGAATGGCTCTGACCCAGCAAGGGTGCTTCACCAGGAATATTCCTCTTCCCTCCAACTCCTTGGATCATTTCATGGAGGAATTTGGAGTTCAGTTTTCCTAGCATTTGGGTGTGCACATGTGTGTATGTGTGTGTACATGCATGCCCATGTGTACATACACGTGTGTTTGTGAGTGAGTGTACAGCTGCATATGTGGTACATGAGAAAGCACAGGAGTGACACAGAGGAAAAAAATCTCATTCTCTTATCTAGAGCCAACAGCATTACAAATTAATGCTGTTTGGGAGACTGTGTGGACTCCTGATGGGAGGCAGAGAGAATAAGCACTCACAAAAGTGATAACAGAAAGAAAGTGGGGCAGGTTTTTTTTATCTTTGCTTGAATAGAAAAAATAGCTGGTGAGGATCTTGTACAATTCTTCATCAGTTCTCATTTTGAAAATTTCCCCTTAAAAACCCAGGGGAATGTTCTCTTATTCACTGAGAGCCACCTTAGAAAGGGCCTCTTTCACCCCTTGTCCTTCAATTCAATCCCCTTTGAAATATGACTCCAATCAAACTTGAATTTGGTGCCACTGACACTCTTTTACTTTGCAGCTCTTGTTCACCTAGGTTTCCTTTCTTGCTGTACTAAAAGAAATGCAGGCGGTGCACGGATGAATGAACAGGTAGATGAGGCTTGTTTTAATGTATATTCCAGATCTGGCAAAACCCCAAGTCTTTTTTTGCAAGCAAAGATAGCAAGAGAGAAAGAAAACCTCCTGGCTAGGAATTAATGAAAACCTAGGGCCTGAGGTATCCCAGTTCTATGTCAAGATAGGAGATTTGTTTTTAACCCTTCTGAGAATTGCTGGCTCCTTTCCTTACACTAGGATTCATAATTTAAGTCTTTTTGATCCTACTGCAAAGTGCCTCAAATATGATGGGTTTTACTCTAATCTGATATAAAAGCATTACAGAAACTTCTCCTGCTTGCAACAGCTCTCATACCTTACCCAGCAGAGGCACTGTACTTGGTCCACAATGACTCTTACTAACCCACAAAAAAGTAAAATTTACTTTTAGAGAAATCTGTTAGTAACAATAAAACTAGTGCCCCGCAACCCTAATCCACCACTGAGGGGATGCACCAAAGGATACCTCCACAAAGGTGCTGTTGCCTCAGAAAACAGTAGGGATGTAGTCCTGGATAATACCATTCTGGGGAACAATATAACCTTGCCATTGAAAGGGGTACCACAAAGCTGAGGCACAGGCAATAACCCATCTTCATGATCCAAGCATCAGGTAGCTGGTTAACAATGCCATGCCTGAAGATACATACAGGTGCATCTACACATGCAATCAGAGCACATCTGAATAAACTCCAGTGCAGTTCACACTATTGTTTATTGATCCTGGGTGCAGTGTTTACACATGTGCCCAGGACTGCAGCATGTTGAGCCAGCATGGTGCAGCCCTGGCTGGCAGGGGTTCTGGGGGGTCAGTCTGCCAGCCCGGAGCTGCTCCACCCTGATTCAACATACTGCCAAAGGGTTGGCTGATGCATGTGCCCCAGCCAGCCCTCGTCACTGTCTACATTTATGTTGCAGCACACTAAATAACTCTCTCATAGGATAATACTTGTGTAGGGCTGTACTATCCTTCAGAGGAGTTAATTAGTTCACTGCAGCCTAATAGTGCTGTATGTGTAGACAGTGACACTTTACTGCAGAACTAATTAGCCATTTCCTCAGTAAAGTACCCATTTAGATGCACCCACATTAGACATATATCACGCGGGCCAACACACCCAAGTTACACATGCATTAATAATTTCTTGTTTTTCAGGAACTTTATCTTAGAACTGAATGTTATATTATTTTCCATAGCATTACTATCCAGTAAATGAGATCCAATAGCACTTTTGCATCAGAACCAGGAAAAAAAAACCACTGAGAAATTATCTCTAACGATCAGGATTATTTCAATTTCTCAAGGCTCAGCCAACATTAGCCTAGCATTAATTCCCTCCTTTGAAACCTCACCCTTCTCCTTCCCAGAATAAGTAAACCTCAAGATGAAAATGACTGAGATGTAATTGGACGTCATGTAAAAATATTCCAAATGCCTAAATTGTAGGTATTTTATTTTCTATACTTTGTCCCCATATTTTTGCCATTTTATATGTAGTAGCAAAAATGTATATAACTTTGGAGTACTCCAGTCCCAATGGACCACTTTCATTTAATTCCATCTTGATTGAAGGTTGTGTTTCAAGAAAAGCCAATACTTCTTTCTCTTTGCTCTTTTAATGACCAGTCGTCTACACTTACACAATTTAAAGTTCAAATAAATTATTAGTCTGATGTATAACCCACAAAAGCCCATAAAACTCAGGGAGGAAAACTGAAATGCTGATCTCAGTTCATCCCCTTGTGCCTATGCATTGCATCATATACGGTAACACACAAGATACTCTGCTCTTTGGCCAAATTTGCAAGCCATTAGTTACAATGCATCACAGCAAATTAAGGACAGAGGTACTTATATGTATAAAGATAATGCAGCACATACGGATACTGCAAATGCAATGCTTTCTCAACATTCATGAGTATACATGGCACATCTAATCTTCTCACATATTACTCCACTCTGTCATTAATAAACTAATGCAGCCAGAGTGAACTGGATTCCTTTCCCATATTTCAACCCAACATCTCTTGAAGAGGGCCCTATCTGCACTCCACTCCACTATATCCACTGAAATATGGTCACTAATTTAATATTTCTGAATATTCAAGCTGTTAAGATTGGCAGGGATAGGACCACATCATGAAACATGGACCCAATGCTGACTCTCCTGAACATTTTGGTTAAGGCTTATATCAACAACCACTAAAAGCAATGCTAATGTGGGCTCTATCTGTAGTATGTAGTACTAGCAATCAAAACTCAATTTTTGGTTTTAAAAATCAAGACTGTTATTGCCCACTAAAAGCTCTGAAACTTGCAAATTTCTATTCAATCTTTTTTTAAAATATATATATTTAGATAGCCTACAAATACCCAGGAGACGGTGTACCTGCATGCACAGAGAAACCTTACTGAAATACAAAGAAACATCTTATTTTGGGGTACAATTCTGTGCACCCAATATGAGCTAAGAGCATGCAGCTAATGCTGATTTTATGAAGCCTTGAATTTCCCAGTGGAAACACAGCAGATCTTTAACTAAGACAGCAGCAGAAGATGTAGTTATAATATTTCCCAAGCAAGATTTATTATCCCTTTTAGAAAAATCAGCAACTCCAAAGCGGAGAACAAAATATTTTGTTATTTTGCCTTAGGGGACTAACTACAGTAACTAACATAAAAAGGAATTTTATTCAGAGGGTTGTTACAGGCTGTAATTGGCTGTAACTGGCCCAGAGGTAGATGATGTGGAAATAACTAGTGGAGGCCACAGAAAAGAGGGATTGATTCTGGACATTCTCTGGCCATCCCACCCTTCCTAGCCAGTGAATAAGTGAGGTGAACTCAATTCACTGTATCTAGCATTGTTTTCTGCATAAGCAAAGCTTCTGAGGAATATGCCCTTTGAACAGAAAGCATCAACAGACCTTATGTCATGTTGAGCATGATAGAGCTGGCACACATTAAAGTAAGGAAGTTCGCACAGATATGAAGCCTCCAAGTTCACTTTCTGAGCAAAAAGTAGAAATGAAATGGCACTCTCAGAGTGACTTACTGGTGCCTAGGGAAAAACAATGAGGCACAGTGTAGTCTGGATATATCTCCTGAGTGACATAGTTTGAAGCTAAGTGGCTTGTGGGAGACTCTTACTCTACTGGCAAATTGCCTTCAGCTGATCAGAAAATTTATCCTTTCTTTCACCCCAAGTGTGTGATGTGTAACTTGAAAGAGAAACACCAGAGAATACTTGGGTTTAATAAAGGTTGGCAGCTGCTGAGAAGACCATGGCTTGACCCTGGCACCCAAAAGTAACATGAAGACCGTGAATGTCTCTGGAATAACTCCCTGTTCTTCTGCTTTTTTCATCAATGCATGTAACAGAGTCTTTTCTTACTTATAAGATTTAGTGTGAGAACCATATAAAGGCAGCCTGCTTTTGATTTTCTGGTGACTCTGGCCATGAACAGTAGTGACAGAAAAGGGTCTCTGGGTTGTGATTCCTCATTATTAGTGTACCACATATGGGGAGTTGTCCCATTCTGTGCCTGCCCATTCATTAACTGTCATATATAGGTCCCTCTTACCCTATATCACCCTTGGATTATAGTTTTGGGTGAAAACTACATTAAATAAGTTCACATGGTGTATAACCAGAAGCCAGCCAAAACTGGTTCATTTCAGCTGTTTTTTGTGTCAACTCGTGGTTGAATAGGGCCAGCATATGAAGAGTGAAATCAGGAAGTGAAAACTTAGGGAAAGGGGGTGGAGGAGAAGAGGAGGTCCATCCAAGTATTTGTTCACTGAAAGTACTCTGTTCCTCATTCCTTATGTCCTTATCTACACACGCAACAATAAGCCTGAAGATAAGGTAAACCACCATTCTTTTTTCCATGTTCTCTGTTGTATATTCTCTTTAATTAGGAAACACCACAAGTAGCAAATCAAAGTTTCTTATCAAATCAACTGTGATCTTCTGGATTGTCAAGACATGCCCGGTGACCTCTTATTTTGCAGGATCAATTTGTATATTACCATGCAGCAGATCACTCCCTATACAGGAGGCACTGGATCTGAGAGCTTGTTTTCCAACTTAGCAAACACATGGAACCAGGCTGATAAATTCAGCTTCCTTTACATTGGATCAGGCTCAACCCAAGTCTTTTTTCCTGGATATAAAGTGCTGAATGTTCAAATAGTGCCCCATGTTTTATGATTTAGTTGCCGTAACACTTATTTTAAGGTTTGGATAGACAAAAAAAGAGAGAGAAAGCAAGAATTCTTGGTCAAACATATACCTGTTGGGTAGTGCTCATTCACTGGCCAGCTGTCCACCTGAAGTGTAGCATTGCCACCATTCCTGGTGAAGCGCACCACATGATATTTGCCATCATTCACAGGGGTGCTATCCTCTTTGATAGAAATATCCACGGTGCCAATATTGAAGACGACACCAATCTTGCCTTGCTCCTGTAATTAAAAGAAAACCGGAAACAACAATTTATAAGTTATCACTTCTTAGGAGACTATCCTACATATATATATTTCTAAACAATTAGATCATGGATAAAGTACCAGTAGATGGCACTCAAGAATATGTAGTAGCATCATTCTGGGGTTTTATAGGACCAGTACAACTTGTGGTTGTGCAATGCAAATATCTTCATCTGAGCCACTCTTTAATATCAGCTCGTAATACCATCAACCTGAGGATCATGATTTATGTCTTCCTTCAAAATGGGTCCAGGGACAATCGAGAACTGAGGGTAGAAAACCAAGGAGCAGTATGAATGGTTATTTGGGAAACAACCCCACTGACTGGAATAAGTTGCTTAATCACTACTGAAATGTAGCCATGACACTGGACCAATGATACAGAACAGATTTATTTGAAAAAAGTCAAAAAGGAGAATTTTAGGGACCAAAAGTATAAGTATCCAAACTGGAATTTGGCCAGTGCACTGAAGCTAATCCTCCTAGACTCCTGAAATGCTATGGGAATGGAGGAAATGGATTCGCTGGGGCAGAGACTTATAAATAAAATATGGCGACTTCCATAGGTTCCCATCTGGCCCATGTTACCAGTTCCCACAGGAATTTCAGTACAACTGCTAAGGATTCACATTATAAAATGATCAGCAGTAGAACTGTCACTGATCAGTCTTTTCAGTGCCTGAGTCAGAAGCAGTACTCCAGGTTAGAATGACCACAGAAAGTAGCCCCCCTTGTACACCCTGAGAGGGCCTATCCAAAACAAGTCTCAGGCACATTGATGGGTGGAGTTGGCTCTAGTGCTGACTATACCAGAATTGTTGCTTGGATAAAGAGAGTGTTTCAGTTTTCAGGGCTGCCTACAGCTATCGCTGAGCCTCTTTCTTTGATGCTGCTGAGCTCTTTTGTCTCAGACCCTTTTGCACAGTCCTCCTCCATGACTCTGCCTGCACCTGAAATCTTCCACAGCCCCTGTGCCCAATTTCCTCTCCGATCCAACATCATCCACAATGGCTTTGCCCGATTCCCCTCAAACGTCTAGCACCCCACAAAGTTCTCTGTCTTTCCCCCACAAATTGTATCTCCCATAGACTCCTCTACATTAGTTCTCCAAAATTATGACAATGCAGCACCAGTCAATATGGTGGTGAGGCAGAACAGAACAAAAAACAAAACAAACAAACAAAATCCACAAATCTCTCTGGAGCTGAAGTCAATCATTATGGAAACTGGTAAGCTTTAGTACTGTGACAGATTAAGTGTCCTGATTTTATCCCTCCCTCCTTATAATAGTAAAGTATAGATCTTAAAGGAATGATCTCAACACATACAACCTGGTTTTACCTCCCATTAGAATTTCTTCTATCTCCTTCCCCCAAAATACTAGATAGATAAACCGCTACTCCCTTAAGATAGAAACGGATGCAGACACAGACATGCACACCCACATGTACATACATACATCAAAGTCTCATTTGGGGATAATCAGCCTATCTCTCCTTGCCCAGAAAAATACTTGGAAGCTTTTATTATACTGTCAGAAGCCAGGGGAGGATGGCACTTCTGAGCCCAACCGGGTCAGAGAGGCATAAGACAAAGTAGGCTGAGGCCTATGAAATCAGATGCTACTTCAAGCTGCAAGCAGGTAAGCTAAGGAAATATGGGTTGGCTTAATGGACTGTAAGGTGGATAGAAAGCTGCCTGGATCGTCGGGTCAGTGGGTAGTAATTAATGGTCGAGGTCTAGTTGGCAGCTGGTCTCAAGTGGAGTGCCCCAGGGGTTGGTCTTGGGTCTGGTATGGTTCAATATCTTCATCAACAACCTGGAAGATGGGATGTAGTGCCCTTAGCAAGTTCGCAGATGACACCAAGCTGCGGGGAGTAGTAGATATGCTGGAGGGTAGGCTAGGATTCAGAAAGACCTCAACAAATTGGAGGACTGGACCAAAAGAAATCTTATGAGGTTAAAAAAGGACAAGTGCAAAGTCCTGCACATAGGTAGAAAAAATCCCATGCACCGCTATGGGCTTGGGGCCAACTGACTAAGCAGCAGCTCTGCAGAAAAGGACCTGGGGGTTAGAGTAGACAGTAAACTGGATATAAGTCAACAGTGTACCCTTGTGAAGAAGGCTAACAGCATACTGGGCTGCATTAGTAGGAGCATTGCCAGCAAATTAAGGGAAGTAATTATTCCCCTCTATTCTGCACTGGTGAGGCCATGTCCAGTTTTAGCCCCCCCACCCCACCCCCAGTACAGAAAGGATGTGGACAAATTGGAGAGAATCCAGAGGAAGGCAACAAAAATGGTTAGGGGGCTGGGGCACATGACTTATGACAGGCTGAGGGAAACAGGCAAAAGAGAAGACGGGAGATTTGATGGCAGCCTTTAACTACTTGGAGGGGGGTTCCAAAGAGGATGAAGCTGGACTGTTCTCAGTGGTGGCAGACAACAGAACAAGGAGCAATGGTTTCAAGTTGCAGGAAGGGAAATTTAGGTTGGATATTAGGAAAAACTTTTTCACTAGGTAGTGAAGCACTGGAATGAGTTACCTAGAGAGGTTGTGGAATCTCCAGCATTGGAGGTTTTTAAGGTCTGGCTCGATAAAGTCCTGGCTGGAATAATCTAGTTGGGGATGGTCATACTTTGACCAGAGAGTTGGACTAGATGACCTGAGGTCTCTTCCAACCTTAATTTTCTGTGATTCAATATAGCATCTGATGAAGCAGACTATTACTGATGAAAACTTATGACTCTATAAACGGGTTAGTCTCTACGGTGCTATCCTGCCCTGCCTTCTGCCTGACTTCAGATTAATATGGCTAACTACTTTTCTCTCTTTATTATATTGAGTGGGGACATCTTTGCTCTTCAGTCTATTGAAATTCTTAGTGCTGGTCACAGAGGGCACCTTCTTTATGCACAGGACTGTTTATTCACCAGTAAAAGACTGACCAATAAAGTGCTGACAGATCATTTATTTGCCATTTTCTCTGGTAATCAGACCCTGTTTGAAGAGAGAGAACCACATTCAGAGACTAGATAATCAATGCTTGCTGTCTGATTCCATCTGAATGCTTTCGCAGAACACTGCTTATAGAATCTTATCCCTTTTAGGGAGGATCTCACAGTTAACCTTTTATATTTCTCCACTGTCCTCAAGGAATAAACCTTCTTTCATTGCAGAAAGGTTGGTGATAGTTCCAACAGAACACACCCGAGAGCAGGCAGAAAAGGTCACTTTAAAATGAGGTCAGGTGCTATCCCTTCCCCCATCCAAAGGAAATACAGCCCTCCTCAAAGTGTTCTGATTCTTCAGTGTCTGGTCCTCACTGTGACTCAGAAGTCTAGAAGTGTATAAAAATAATAATGGGCCAGATCAATTGGTCTTTATGCAAGCAAAGCTCTCATTACCTCTTTAAGGAGAGCTTTGCTTGAGTAAGCTTTGTGTAAACACTGAAGACCAGAGGTTGAAACCCATACATCAATACTTTAATAGTCCAATAAGAATTAGCAGTGCTAATCCTAGTAGCAGGGTTAGGTACTACTCCATAAGAACTCTAAGGACTGACCTAATATTCCAGCCTATTATTTCTAAAATTAGTACTTTGTGCCTACATGGCAACTGTTATCCATAATATTAAAGCACTTTACAAAAATGAACTACCACACTGTAGATAAAAAAGTCTCAGTTCTAGAGACATAAATAAGTAACACAGGGTGCATCTACATGTGCATTGATGTGTTTTTTCTAATGCACATTAAATTTAGTACCTCCAATGCAAGTTGCCCTGATGCACAGTTGCCCTAATGCACAGTAGTGAAAGTGCGTGCTTTTTTAGTGATGCTTAATGCACAGTAGCCTATTTACAGTGCATTAGAGTATTTGCACAGTTTTTTACACAACACTTTAATGCACAGTAAAATAGGCTACTGCACATTTAAGCACAAGTGTAGATGTGCTCATAAAGAACAAGACCATGAGTAGAACTCAGAGCCTTTCCCTCCCATTCTAACGCATATTGTTCTACATTACTGTGCCTCATTATAATGTACAAGAAAATCAGAGACTCACCCAAAGGCCACATGTGCCAGGGTGGAGAGTAGAACCCTGAGCTTCAGATAGTAAAGCTGAGCCTTGAAGAAAATTATCCTTCCTCTTGGTTTTGAAAAACAGCCTCTACTGCTAAAATAAACACCCAGCTCTTGATGGGCTCAGCCTCCTTCATTCCTTTCCCTGTACATTAAGTTATTAGATTTTCTTTCACAAGTTACAAAGCAGTGAGCTGAAATAGATTGGCAAAGCTCTGACAGCCAAGGGATGATTTACCTCGCTGCCAATATTTCTAACATTTGTTTTGTATTGAACAAAACAAAACAAAACAAAACAAAAGCTGAATCCATGGCAGCCCAGAGCATACAAGGCACACACTCTCAGACGGCCCAGAAACATTTTTAATAGGCAGCCTACATCTTCTTTCCTTCATATCAGTATTCACCTAGATACCCCAGCCACCTCTGCATGTCAAGGTGAGCTTCCATTCATTGATTTACCTCTATTATTTTCTTTGAAAACTTTGAGTGACATCAAGTGCTGGCAACTAAGAACAACAATTTTATTTAGAAATAACTCAGAGTCCCATCTTCATTTCTCTATTTTTTTTGCCTGATACCATTCTATCAACTGCCCTGGTCTTTCCTTGTTCATTGCCCGCTTCCCTGCCCCCCCCCCCCAAAAAAAAACAAAACAAAACCAAACCCAACTTCTGCCATGAGAACTACAAGAAATCAGGCATGAAGAAAGAAAAGCAGATAAATTATATGTATATCAGTAAATTATATGTGGTTCAGAAATGAAAAGCAGGTAAATTATATGTGGAAAAGAAAGCAAATGATACTATGAAAATATACTAGCCATCACTCTGAACACTCTGCTTGTACCCTTTCCCCCAAACCCTCATAAATTCTGTACAACAGTGTTT